TTTGGTACCAGGGATTGAACTCGGGTCCTTGTGCTTGCAAGGCAGGCCACCGAACCGCTGAGCTAAATCCCCGGCCCAATTTTTGCTTCTTTTACTTACTTTCTTTCTAAAGTCTAAGGAGATGTATTTAGAAAATAAGTGGCAATGAATAATCTTTTAAAAAATTGAAGTGAATATAAAAAATGCCTACACACACCTATCATCAAAAAGAGCAACAGGTTCAGGGTATTTTACCAAACTTTAATGAATTCTCATGCTTTGTCTGTCTATACACAAATTAAAATTTTTCACATCATAGAAAAGAAAGAAAGCTACCTGAGTCATCTAATAAGATCCTTGAAAACAAATCTGGACAAAGGCAATGCAAAAAACAGTAATTAGAGCCCAAAATAAATTATGAAGATAAAGATTCTAAGCAAAATGCATTAGAAACACGATAGTTATGTATATACAAATAAATACATTTGGCCAGTGGTGGTACATACTTGTAATTCCAGCACTCTGAGAGGCCAAACTGGAGGTTTGCAAGTTTGAACCCAGCCTGGGCAAGTTAGCTAGACCTTATCTCAAAATAACAAATAAAAAAGGGGTTGGGGATACATAGCTCAGTGCAAGGCCTTGAGATCAAACCTCAGTACCATAAAAAAAAAGGAATAAAAAATAAACAAACTTAACAGCAAGTACAGTTTATTTAAGGAGTACAAGAGTATGACCAATTTTTAAAAATCTCCTGATTAAATCATTATATAAAGGACAGAAAAAAAAACAATTCCATGATTATCCTAAGAAAAATAGTAAAAGCACTCAATAATAAATCACTCATTAATACAAGAAAATATATGAGCAAATCAACTTTTAAAGGGAACATGGGGATGCGAGGAGATGCAAAAGAAGGAAAAAGAAAGAGAAGTTAAGGAATCAAGACATGATATGTATATGTACCATTTCCCATGATAAATGTATTTATTAAATATTGCAAACATGCTAGTTAAAGAGGAAGGAAAAAGAGTATCTATAAAAGTCATACAGAGAGTATACTGCTGAACAGTAAAATCATGAAGCCTATTGTGTTAAGTCAGCTACAAGAGAATAATGTCCACTGTCAGTACTGCTTTCATATAGTACTGAGGTCAATGAAATAGGGTGAGAGAAAAAATAACAGATTTAAGAATTAGAAAGAAAGGTATAAAATTGCCTTCTCTTTCAAAGAATGTGATTGTCCATTCTGCCAAAAAGTGAAATTATTAAATGTTTAAAAGAAAATACACAGAAATATTTGAAATAAAGAATACCTCGAAAATATTAGGAAATCATGATATGGGAAAACTTTTATGTTCCTGGTGACTGTCAGTTTTGGAAAACAGCTCTGTTATGAAAATATTGTTGAGGGAGAGCTTGAAATTCCTGTGTGTGGCCATTGGATGAGAATGTCAGGAGGCATCTCAGAGCAATGGGCATCATTCTACAAAAAGGAGCAGTTGAGAGTTAGAGGCTAAGGATGAAACTGGGTCCAGAATTTCAGAAGGAAGAAATACAGAAAGAAGAAAAAGAGGAAACTCCCTGGTCTGGAAATCTGTGGGTTGTAAATAACTAGAACAAACCTCTGAACTTGAGATAAGGGCTTTCAGTGAATGTAACAGAACTTTAAGCTATTTTAAGCACACAACACAGTAGGCAATTTCTACCCTTAGAATCGTCTGGGTGAATTAATATGATTTGGAAGGCAGGGTCCTTTGCCACATCCTATGAAAACTTAGTGCCCTTTATCAAATTCAGAACCTCCCATTCTTCCCTCCCCCATTCTATATGACTTGATAATCCAATAAAAAGTTTAGACTAGGTGATTTCTAGGCATCTTCAGCTCCATGATATTATAATGCAACAATCTAGACAGAGAGGAAAATCAAAGCATCAATAAGTGCATAAGAAGTCATGTATGGGATTCAGTGATGAGATGTTTCAGGACAGTATAGTCACCGGAGGACAGCATTAGCATGATCTGGGAGCACAAGAGAATGCGGACATGATTCCCTCACTACAGAATCAGCACCTGCATTTTAACAAGTCTGCCCAGTCACTTGTACAAACATTAAGGTAGGATCAGCACTGTACACAGACATCTCCTCATGATAGAACAATAAAAGATGGACTCTGAAGGCAAAAGATTACCTATTCATTCTTTTCATTTTTTCTGTAACATTCAGAGTAACAACTAAGATCAACATTACAAACTAAAAATAAAATGTTGAAGAGCTGAAAAATATTCCTGAAAGTGCATGTTAAAGCTAAATTGAAGCCGTGAGATTTTACTATACCTTATATTTGAATTTCAAATGGCAGTATGGACTACATAAGACACTATTTTGTTTACTTTGATAAAGAATTAAAACTTCTCCTTTTATCAATTAGGGAAGCAGACTAACTGGGATTATACTCTTTTAAAAAGTCCACAACAATAATTAAAATATTTTGATCTTTTCAGGTTGGAAGAGGCAGTCTACAAACAATTGCTAATCAAAAGTTCCTGTTTTCCTGTTAGTAGAATCCGTTTTCTTTTCCTTCTAGGTCACTGTATAGAAAACTCCTTTTATAGCTTAACTTATTGACTCATTGCAATAAATTTTTGTAGTGCCAATTCAAATTCTTCAAATTTCTAAAATCGAGCATAAGACTCCTGTAATCTCTTGGTCTTTTATAAAGGCACTTTCCTGTACAGTTATAACTGAAAACACCAACTAGCAATGTGATTGTCCGTTCTGCCAAAGAGTAAAATTACTAAATGTTTGCTAAAAGTATATGGAGAAATACTTGAATAAAAAAAGAATATGTGGAAAATATTAGAAAATTGTGACATGGAAAAGCTTTAAGTGGTTTCATGATTGCCATTTTTGGAAAAAGTCTTTGTTTTGAAGAATTCTTCAGGGAGATTTCCAGTTTCCTCTTATATGCATACTACATGATAATCATAGGAGATATCAGTAATACCTCACTCTCTCCTCCAGGAAATCCTCTCACTCTCTTTGGAAGCTCTGAATTGGATGAGTCATACAATAGTGACACCAGAGAAGAATATTTATTGTTGGTTATTCTGTGAAAGAAAATTACCTTCCCTGTAGCAAAAGGTCATGGCAAATTCTGTCCAAATATTTAACAGTTGGGATCCCAGCAGACAACAGAATGGAAAGCAATATTATTTTACCATGCCTAAGAGGACCTTGAGCCTAAACGTACAGCCAGGCATCCGCAATACTTACCAATTTCAAAACTCCCATCAATGACCCCTACCAGTGAGGACGGGATATCAAACCTTCTCTCTATCTGAGTGATGGTGCTCTTCAGATAGCCTTCAGCCAATGCTTTTGCAAAGTAGACAAAGGACAGGCCACCCAAAAACACCTAGAACACACAACAGGTCACAATCCGACTACGGCTCGGCACAGCTTAGTAACATACTAAGCAAATGGACGAAAGCAATGAAGAACAAGTCTGGTATCACTGAAGATTTAATTCAAGTACTATTCCAGGCCTCCTTCAAACTTAGCCTCACGGACATTTTCAAGAAATTTAAATTTTCTTAGAATTTGAAATGTATATTGATTTCCACTCAAAATGTACATTGAGTTCATGTTTCTCTTTCTTTCCTTTTCTCCAAAGAACATTCAAAGGAGTCTAGATTTAAAAGGAAGATCAGTATATAGTGAAGCAGAGAGGAAAGTGACATTGATAGATAAGAAAATGCATCAAATGAAAACAATTAGACAGACATCTGGCATCTTATCACAGTGTAATAGCCACAATTACATATTTTACAGTGATGGTATATGCAGCAGCAGGGAGCATGAAAAACTGAAAACTTGGAACTATTGTTCCTCTTATTGAACTTCATACTCATTAAACTCATACTGAAATTATCTCTCAGTAGAAAATATATTTTTGGTATCTGGCTATATATTTGGTGGATGTAGGTATGTGTCATAGCAACAGTGCATAGCCAGGCCGCCATGTACATGAAAAGAAAATGCAAGTACTTGCTGAGTGGATATTAGGTGTAAAGGAAGAAGGTTTGAGTCATACAGAAAGTGATTTAAAGAGTAACCCCATCCTCTACTGTGTAACAGCGAAAGCCACACTTTTATAAAGTGAAAATGACATGGATGGTTCATTGATAAAATGTCATATCTGCACTCAGTACAATACCTGGTACATAGAAGTTTAGTAACAGTTTCTATTATCTCTCCCCTTTGTGTTTAGGAGAGGCACTGAAATGAGTCTAGGAACATAGTTCAACCCACATGGTCAGGCAGAGATTGCTTTCATTGCCAGATAAGGTTTAGGAAACTACATGCAACTTTCACCTTTTAGAAAGGATAATAATTCTCATTTTTAACTTTATACTGAAGATATCTGAACAGAAAAACAAGGGTGCCAACACTACCTCGTTGGTTATCCTACCTTTAGTTCACTGCAGCATGACTGCCTTTCCTCTGAAGAGGGATATTCTGTTTTGACGGAAGGCCTTCCACCAGGTTGCACTGGGTTTTTGCAGAAAAACTGGATGTTTTCTTTGGATGAAGCATCCATTTTGAAAATGTTCCTTGACTCTGATCTGTAAGAGTGGTAAAGACAGTAAAAAATTAATTTACATCTGTACAAATTATTAAGTAGTATTTTATTTTGTAGCAGACTCCAATTCTATAGACAGAATGTCAAGAAGCTACCTTCTGTTACACAGTAAATTGGCAAATCTTTTCAATTAAAATCAAACAGGATATTTGATTAATCCTTCCATTGGGAATTTGCAGCCAGCATTCTTTCTCAATCTCTCCACTGTAAGATTCATTTTAGCAAGAACAGGTTTAAATGTTGCCTTCGGAATAAATAATGAGGCAGAATTTTGCTAACTTTGTGGTCTTGCCAGATTAAACTAGGAGCAAGAAGTAAAGACAGAAAAGGAATTCAACCATCAAATATTGATTCATTACCATGAAGCCTGCAAAGCCTTTAAACCTATCTAAGAATAAATACAGGAGGTTGTCACCTATCATAGATCCCTAAAGCACCTTCCAACTCCTGCAGCATCCCAAGTAAGGTCTAACTATGGTAATAGTAGAGGAGTCCAATTTATATATTACTTTAGTTCAGTAAAGAAGAAAAATTTGTGCTTTGGTCTTAGACTTAATTCAGATGAAAGTACAGTCTTGGGTCCACCTTAAAAGTAAGAAAGATGGTCCCCATTCCCTCCCTGGATTCCCACTGTCCCCCGACCCTTTTGTCTGGACCAGACCCTGGACAGTATCACATACTCTGTTTCTCCCTGTCCACATTAATGTTCATAATCCTGTTCCCCTCCTCTTCAGGGCTCCATGTAGCTCAGTGCCTGCTGGTTCAGCTAATCTATGTCAAGGGACATAAGAAATAAAATAACTTCTGGATCTCCCCAGTGACTACTCAGTGATGCAATTGTACATGAACAGAGATCTTCCATTTCTGCACCCTAAACAAATGACATCTGGAGTAGTGTTTCATGTATGGTGGTAAAAATTCAGGCTTGTTCTGCTTATCTATGTATGATCTTCATTTAATTCCATGCTTCGTCTATGTTTACTAAACCTTCATTCTTTGAATTCACAGATGGTATCTCCAACTGAAAAAAAATTAAGTAATAGTAGTATAAACATTTTATTTCAAATATATAACAACATCAGAAGACCTAAACAATTTCCAAGTCTAGTGGATTCTTTCAGGGAGTCAAAGATGAGTAGAGAAAGGGTAGGGAAAAAGTTTGGGTTTTTAAAAAAACTATTATTAAACTTACAGAGTTTTATTTCATAAATATGCATAATTTCGATTTTTAAAAACTAGGCAAAGGAAATAACAGTGAGTGAAACAAAAAATATAAAACCAAAATGCTAAAACTATGCTCTAAACAAAGACATGGGCAGATGATATATCAATAATGCTTTATCAAGGGATGTCCTGGCAAGAAAAAAAAAGCAGATAATAGACACATGACCATTGACTACATTCCCATCACAAAGCTAACTTATCCTGATAATCTCACACTGATGGCACAAAAAGCAAAACGTCAGAAGCCCATAGATTATAAAATCCCAATGAAAATGATAGCAAATCCAAATTAATTAACTAGTATTTTAAAATTAGGGTTATCCTAAAGATTTTAACCAAAACTAGTAAACTTTATTCACTAATTAATCACATGAAGAATTTAAAACTACAAAATGATAACTTATCAGTAGATGCAAAAATATTTAATCAGAGGCAACATCCATTCTTGATTTAGTAATTAAAACAAATTTTAAGAAACTAAGAATAGAGATTCATCTGTACAGTATCTGATAAAAGAGCCAACTTCACATATGCACTGAATCACTGATTATTTTCTCAGGATAATTTTTCCTAGACTAATAAAAATGGAGATTTCAAAAACACTCAGTTATACAAGGTTAAGAAGATTTCTTTTCCGTGAAACTACCCAGAGTTTGTAATTGAACTCCAGAGATTCATGACTTATCATGAAAAAAAGTTAAAAAAAACAAGTGACCTAAACGTAGGCTTCAGAAAATTTATAAGCAGAAAATTAACACGTCTCTTTGTTATCACTGCATATGATTTTTCAAAAAAACATTTGTATATTTTCTAATTTTTCTACATTGAACATGCATTTCTTCTGTGAAAAATAGTTTCATATGAAAGGTAAAAAATACCACCAAGGACAAATGTAGAAAACAGAGAGATTTTACTATATAAAATATGTATTAAGTGTACAGCTAAAAATTTAATTCCCCTTCAAGGATTAGCTTTCTAACTCAAACTACCTTACTGCTTTAAGAGCTCAGATATCAGATAGCTCCCCGTGAATCAGAATATTAAAACCAAAATTCAAAGAGCAAATGTTTACTAATATTCTACCATTTAAACTAAATGTATCTTTAAGGGTGAACTCCAGAAGGTTTAAAATGTTAAAGTTTAAATGTTGAAGGTTTAAATGTTAAAATATTTTAAAATATTTAAAAACTTGAGACATGAAAGCACATAAAACATTTTCCTATATTTGGAAGCCTTGATACAAAAATTACTCTAAGTGGAATCCAGAGGCAATAGCAGAAGGGCACTGTAGTGACCTCAGTTAATGCTATACTGAGGTAAAAGAGCACCCAGTTTAAAATACTGATCCTTCTGCTGGAAACATAATGCCATCTGGATGGCTAAAGTGCAAGTCATTATGAGAACAGTAATGTTCCAAGGAGCCACACCTTGTGAGCAGGGACCTTTTAACCCTTGAAAACAGGAGGTGAAGAGCTCAATGAAATGAACACAAAAATCTGAGGCATGCACTTGCACAAGAAGGGCTGGCTAACAGTTATTTAGAAGGACTTACACCTGCCACATCCTCTATTGCTCTGGGGCCACCTGACTCAATTCCTCCAAGAAAAGACATATGGCAAAGTTTTCATTCAGCACTCTCAGGTGAGACTCAATTTATTCTGGTGGCCAAAGTAAAGCAAGCCAAGCAGTTTTTCTTTATTTTAGTTTGGGAGAAAAATGAGGTCTTGGTTCACACAGGTTGAAAAGTCAATCCTGCAGTCTTACGTGGGGGCTGAGGAGGCTGTGGTTGGATGACACAAATACTCAGAAGCATTGTGACTGAGATTCACTCCAGCCATCCGCCTCCAAGGAAGCTACAGGTGAAGGCAAGGAGGCAGCCTCTCCCTTCCCTCCTGACATCAGACCTCTGGACCAGCCTGGCTCTGGACACTTCCTTTTGAAAGGTGTAAAACATCACTCCATTGTCACTGCTAAGAGGAGTGTGCATAGTGTGGAAAGGTGAGCCCTCCCCCTTACAAATCTATGAGTGTCAGATTCGGATTTAGTAAACACTGTTTTTAAACCAATGTGTGGTGTGTGTGTGTGTATTTATAAACCTTCAATCTACCCAACAAGTTTGGCACTATAATCCCCGTTTGCAAGGATTCAAAACAGGTAAGTAACTTGTCAAACTACATAACAACAAGCATCAGAGTCTAAATTTGAATCCCAGTTGGGGTTTTTCTGACTTCTCCAACCAGTCTCCCTCCTACTACCACCAAACTATCAAGGGACTTATTAGCTCTCATTGAGAAGGGCTAGGGATAAACCACAAGTAGTACAGAAATGAAGGGTTCATTAGCTTCTCTCCTGGGAAAACCCGGCATAATGCTCACAAAATTCAAAAGAAGAGAACCAGATCTTACCTGGAGGTGGAGGTCAAAGAGCCTGTTCCTATCAATGAACTCAACAAGAGGCTGAACCACACACCACAGACTGAAAGAGGAAACAGGGAAATTCCACAGCAGTTTTGGGCAGTTCTGCCAGGTCAGGAGAGGCTGAGTGAACATGGACAGAGCACATTAGGGAAGAGAAAAGATGCAGGGCATGGTCTCAACCCTGGGCAATCTCTCCTCTTTCGTCTTTCCAACTGGCCTCTTTTTTCTGGCAGTCTGCAGAGAACTGGCCACGCTGGCAAGGCCACTGACGTGCATCTCAGCTCTCAGGGCACAGAGAAAGCCGTACCCTTTGAGCCATTTCTTTGCAATGTGCTGCAAGTTTAAGGCCACACGTGATAAAGCTTTCTTTATGGGAGAGAGTGAAAAAGAAAAGACCACTTGTGATCTTACTTGCTGATTCCCAGAAAACACAACTCCACAGGGGGCGCAGGGTGAGGGAACAGAAGCCAGAGGGAGGACGGAAGCTTGCAACAAAGCTCCCTCCTTCTCCTTCCAAGAAGTTTGCGAGCCAGCCATTCCTCAGGGACGTCACTGGGATCCTTGTTTTGTTTGTTTGTTTGTTTTTATTTAAAAAGGCTCTCTGGCAAAATTGCTGCACGGTTTCCTTTCTCACGGGGATTCTACAATCTGTAGGGACCAGGTATCAGGTCAAGTTCAAAGCTCTACAGAACTTGCTCCAGAAGGAGTTAATCCCCAAAGAGATGTGATCAGTTGTCACATCCATGATTTCTATGAGCCTTGAAATTAGAAAAACAATGATTCTTTGGCATTCGGCTGTTTATTCTACTTAAGTCCAAAGACAGAGAACTCCTTACACTGAGAAATTCTAAAATTCTAATACTTTTTGCAAGGAACAATTTTAGTAAACTTTGAACAGTATTAGTTTGCGTTTGGTTCCTACCACAAATGAATTTGACACCAGCATCATCCAAGGTTCAGCCTGTCCTTAAATGCCTGTGACTCTGATTTGGTCATTTAATTTTACTGAAACTCAAATTCTTTCTTTGTAAAACAAATTTTGTTGCCTTTAAAAAAGAAGACAGGGCCGGGGATTTAGCTCAACGGTTCAGTGGCCTGCCTTGCAAGCACAAGGACCTGAGTTCAATCCCCGGTACCAAAAAAAAAGAAGACAAATATTTACCGGGTTGTTTTAAAGATTAAATTATGTCACGTATTCAAAAGCACATTGCAAATCACCAAGCACTAAATGATCAGAAGGTATCATTATTACTTAGGTAGTCTCAGCTCACATATAATCAAGATATTTAATTAAAATTTTTATTAGTACATTTTACTGCAAAAGAATAAAAGAGGAAGCAAGGAAAATTTGGCTTATTTGAAATCTTACAATGAGGAGGAATGGAGGGAGGGCAGGGGTGTGGGGAAAAAATGAGAAACAAGACCTGTCATGTAAAGGTACAAGATCCCAAAGATGAGTGTAATGGTATTGTATACCTAAAATGTACCAATAAGCTCAATGAGAAAAAAATAAAAATAAAAAAATATTACAACTAGGCAATGTCATATCTAAACTCTGGAAGACCAAGTATTTAATTTTAGCACTCAAGCCGGGCTTTGCCTGCAGAAACAGGGAGCAAACAGCTCTGAGCAGTGTCGTATTCAGTGTGTGTGTCCATGTGGCCGTTGGTGAATTAAAGGGAAGATAGCATCCGTGAGTCAAAAGAGTAAAGGGTCTCTTTTTCCTAACCAAGACATTTAATTTGTCCTTGTAAATGTAATTCGGTTCATTTTCATCTTGCTCAAATTCTCTCTATAACATGATTTCTTCATTCACTTCTAGAGGCCCTCATTAATGTTTCTACTGTGAATGCACCTAATGCTTATTTTGCATGATATTCAGAGCTCCTTATACACAGCCTTGCACTGGATTGTACCATACCTCAGCCTCTCATTGCTGCTCTAGACTAGGAGTCAGGAGAATTTTCCTATGCAGCTTTCTGGGGCCACGTGATCTCTGTGACAGCCACTTGTTGGAGGAATTGAACCTTAGACTAAATATAAATGAGTGACTTTCCTAAGTCTGAAGCCACAAAGTCAGGGCGTAAAACCACAGAATTATACTGTCTCACACTTTGGAGGCGTTAAGTCCAAAATTAAGGCACGAGTAGAACCATACTCCCTCTAAATCTGTACTTCCCTCTTCTGCTTCCTAGTGTCTGCTTAAAATCCTTGTCATTGTTTGGCTTATAGATGCATCGCCCCAAGATCTCCCTCCACACAGCCATCTTCTTTGTGTTTTTGTGCTTAAAAGGACACTACATGAGCCGGGGATTTAGCTCAGGGGTTCCGCCGCCCGCCTCGCAAGTGCAAGGACCTGAGTTCGATTGCTGGTACCAAAAAAAAAAAAAAAAAAAAAGAGAGAGAGAGAAAAAAAGGACACTATTGGATTAGGGCTCACCCCAATGACCTCTTCTCAGCTTGATGATCTGTGTAAAGGCACTATTTTCAAATACGTTCATAAGTACAGGAAATTAGAACTACAGCATATTAGGGAACGAGGGATCATAATTCAATCCACAATACTAATGTTCTCATTTCCCTTCTTATTGGACTTGTATCAAGCAATCATTTTTAATCATGTTCTGCTGTACATCTTCAGTTCTATCGTTCTTTATATTTGTTGTTCTTTCTTGGTGAAACTCACCCAAGACAATTTTTCTGTCTAAGCTATGTTTGTATCCACACTGATTTTAAATGACTGGAGAACAAGTCCCTGAGATGTCCTCAGGGTTTACTTTATATTTATGGTCAGTATCCTTACTGGGCCAGTACAGTTGACAGCATCTCTCCACAGCCCAACCACTTTTCCTCTTTCCTGAATAACTGCTAAGATCTTTAACATTTCTTTTTTCTACCCCTTTAGCTGATGATCTCATTTAAGGAGTTCAATGATAATATAATAATTATATATATAATTTGCCTTTCTTCCAGCCCTGAGGGATGCACAGCCCCTAAGTCCATGCCCAACCTTGAGTCTGTACCTTCTCATGTAAAATTACTTTCCTCCAGTTCTTCGTCTATCAAGTCCTATCAGCTTTTCTCTCCACCACCCTATAGTGACTGTTTTCACCAATAAGGTCAAAGATGTTCACATTAATAAACCTGTGATGACTTGCCAGACCCGTTTTAATTTTCTGTTACAAATCATGCTCTTTTCTTTGATCCATTTTCCCCAAAACATTTTTTCATGCTGGGTTACAAGACAATATACTCCCTTAATTTTTTTCTACTTCAGTGGTCATTTGGTCTTAGTCTTCATTGCTGGAAAATCCTCAGAATATCTTCTGTACTCTACCCTTTAATGACCTCATCCAGTTTCATGGCTTTAAACATCAACTCTGATATAAGGAAAGCTGTGTGATTCCAAATTTGAACTAAGAGGTTTTCAATCTGAAAAAAAAGTACATGTAGGTAAACACACACACATACACACACACACAGTGTGTGTGTGTATGTGTGTGTGTGTGAACACCTTTCTCCTAGTTCTCTCTATTGAGAAAGCCCAGAAGCAATGACCAACTAAGTAGCAACATATGTGACTAGCAATGAATTGTGGTTTACGAATAACATAAATAAAGAAGTCATGGATCCCTGACATGTGACCGATCCCTGGTTTGGGTCTGAAATATCTTGTCAAAGAAAAAAAAAATCTAAGAGTCTATGAAAAAGAGATTGAGTCAATAGGACTCAGGAGCCAACTCAAACAAGCTTCTTCCAGTGGAATATAGAAAATTTGAGCAGGAATAACAGTAAATGATTGAAACATACAAAATATTAAAATCCATGAATTCACAACATCACTATAAAAGATCACCTGGTCTGTCATCTTTGACTAAATAACTTGAATACATTTATAACTAGTGGTAGTTAAGGGAAAATTATGCATTTATATGCCCTTCCTGTACAACATATTAATTAGTCAATAAACAAATTTTATGTAAGTATTACAAGTAAATGAAAAGGGATGCAAAATGGCAATATCATAATTTCCAAACCCCTAATGAATACATCTAGATGATGGTCTTCAATTATCAATAATATCACATGAAAAATACAATAGCCATTTCTGAACATCTTGATGGTACTCAAAAGCTTGAAACTTTTTCTTTCAAGCAGTCCTTCCTCCTCATTCCCAAACAAAATATACCCTCTGACTGGACCTAAATTCCAGTTCATTAGAAATACAGGGAAAAAGAAAATGTGCTAAAGGATTCTATAAAAACGCAATTAGAAAAGTCCAAATAGAGAATGTCATTAGGACAAGCAATCTATTTTTTCCCCAAACAAAAAGATGGGAGGGTGGGGAGGGAGAGGAGAGGGAGGGGGGAGGG